CTAAACGACCAACCTTGATTCCGGCCCTGAATGCTAATCATTCACAGAGCCCAAACCAAGAAAAACCGACACCCACGTCCGTGATGCTGAAGATGCCACATGCTGGTTATGTTGCGGAGATCTGGGCGAATCAGGGTTTCCACGTGGACGACCGTTGTTATTTCTGTTACCAGTATTTTTTTATACTATTAGTTATTCTTAGTATCATTAATATACGAGTACCACGACGACAAAGTCGACGGAGGCGACTACTCCCTCAACTACTTCCTCTAGTACAGTACTACTTCTACCTCTAATACTTCTGCTGCTCCTCCTGCTGGCGCTCGGGACTCAGGTTTTATGTGTGCTCCGGCTGGCCTCATTCTCAGTTGCACGAAGCTCTGTAAAAGAACTTGATGTGAGCCTAAACTCTTTGAAGGGGCTCTTCTGGGTTGTTATACAGGGGAGCACCACACCGGATATCAAGAGGGAGACGAGGAATTAGACTATAGCTCACATGCGATTGCTCAAGTGCCGACNNCCCCCCCCCCCCCAAACCCTGAACATCAGCGAAGTCCACAAGGTGCAAAATTGGGCCTTGGTTTAAGTACCTGAATGTCAGCAACCTTTGGTCTGCAAAGTATATGGTGAGCATGCCCTGGTCGCACTGGTACCGGCGACTCATGTACAAAGGACCGCAGCTTTGCAAGGGCTGTCCAGGGCAATGGGAATAAACGAATAAACGTAACAGGGCTGAAGATCAAAGATGCTAGTGTATGCTAGCCACGTTCGTAAGATGAATAGTGACATGTATCCTGCAAACCTGCCAGGATACAAAGATGCAGATCCGGACTACCACTTAACCAGGACTGCAACGCTGTTCTCCGCTGTTTGCGCAGTCAGTGAAACGCTGGGGCCGATGTTGGTGCTCTCAAACAACAGCGCTGTTGTGACCTTTGGAATCTTCTTCATATTTTGCATGCACCTGTACATCATCTCCACGCTGATCGTTGACGCCGAGCCCCAAGATCTGTGTTCTGGCTTACACATGGGCATCTCTTGCACAGAGCATCTTAGGTCTTTACCTGGAATTTCGTTGATGCGCTTCTGTACTGCTTTCTCTTCGGTTGCTACGGGCCCTCGGTGGGCTCCATGGCTGACATCCCTGGTACCCACCTACCCTCCTAGAACGATGGGGCTCTTGAGTGTTTTCTTACCTGGCAGACCCTTTGAGTAGCCTAAATTTTATACAGCCCCAAAAAGCCTTCGGTAAAGCTAGAGCCCCCTAAGGTTTTAACTTCCAGGCCATAAATCCAACTCCCAGGCAAAAAAATCACCTGCTCCCTTCAGAGCTCCTTGATTCCCCTGAAAGTAAGGCGGCCCAATGGGCTTTCAGTGGGGCGACGTTTCGAAGATCCACCCTGCCATGGCCGCCTTCCTCCTGGCCCATGCCCTGTACAGTATCTATGGCAACTTCGTCCCGAGCCATGTGCTTTGGATGGCCAGTATAATCAGTATAGTGCACAATGCCATCACGTACTGCTCCGCTGATCAACCAGGGAGGGGAAGGCACAGGAGGAAGAGGACTAGGACTTGGAGGAGTCGTGGTGATGATGGGTTGTAGTAGAACAGATGCAAGAAGGATGATGATGATCATCATCATCATGACCATCAAAATCATCATCACCATCATCATCATAATCATCATCATCTTCTTCATCATCATGATGGTCATCGGGACGCCAAGGAACTCAAAGTCCCTGATGCCTAGGTGCCCTACGTAGTTGCACACCGACACGCCGCCGGGAACTTCGCCCAAGGGGTGCTCCTGGTAAGAGTCTCAGCGGCAGCAAAGCTCGGCAAGGCCGGGACACCATGTTCTTACTGCTACCATCAGTACATGGACGAGGCATAATCATGGGAGGAGGAGGATTTTCAGTTGTAGTTGTTGGAGGGTGGTAGTCGTAGTAGTGGTAGGAGAATTAGCAGCAAGAGCAGGTTGACAGCAAACAAAGTGTTCTGCTCATGTGCTGGCTAGCCACTTCACCTACTGCTTCAATAACCAGGGAATGCGCAGCCACCACCTGTAGCTTGATTGCTTTGAAGCACTTCCATGTCGAATAAGCGTCACGATATCGTTGACCTGGTGCTTGTGTTCAAGCTGACTTTGGGATCGAATCGTTTGACACCAGCCGCAGCAGAAGAATAAGAAGCCCAAGACCTGAATTTTCATGAAACCCCAAAAAATTATCCAATGCCCAAACCCCGAAACCTTTCAAAACTTGGCAGGTTGTGGCACACAGTGGCTGCCCGGTTGTCAAGGGCGCTCCTGCGCCGGGCTGGCTCGGGGAATGGCTCCTGGACCTGGCAGTTTAGGGTTTAGGGCTTAGGCCCTACTTGCTGGTTGTTAGTAAGGTTATGTGGCATGGTTGAAATAGGGGTATTTATGTAGGGCTTTGGGAATAGTACCCGAATCAAATGGAAAATTACATGGAAATTACAATGGACGCTAATAATTTAGTTTTTTGTGGTGATGCAGTTTTGTGTTTGGTCGTTGGGCGTTGGGGCTTGGTCTTTCGAGCTGACTGTAGCTCTTTAGGGTTTAGCGGGGAGTTGGTTTTTGGGTGCTTGGGTCAGGATTAACGGGCAGTAATACTATACATGTGTTACTCGGACCTGCAATCGCGGTTGATAATTGATGCCAGATTAGGGCTTAGCAGAAATAGTTTTCGGCATTTGAGGTGCTGGAGTGTATTAAGTGTATGGGGTTATGGCGATGAACGCATGTGAAAGGCGTAAAATCGCTCTTCTTCAGACTGGTGCATGATTTCTTTGGAAATGTTGTATCAGAGAAAAAAGGTTGGGCTTCCACCTGCTGATGGCTTATTTCTGGCTATGGAACATGCCAAACCGAATGCTCCTTCCATTGACCTTCGACCAGCTTCAAGCGCTGGGAGGACGAGAGGCCATGGTTGAGCTTTGGGAATAGCGGGTTGGATGATGCGAGCTTACGTGGAAGTTGTAGGCCCTAATCATAATCATATCTTTCCTTCCAAGCTCTGAGGCTCCTAAAATGTAAGGCCCTGAAAGCCCAAGGCCCTCAGAACTCAAAACCCTCAGGAAGACTTTATCATGCTCCACTCCGTCCTTGTCTTTGATGCCCTCGCTGCACATGTGCGCTTCGATGGGCTCAGCAGTTTGGCCCTGGTCCGGGAGCTTGGCGAGGTCTGTGGCTTTGAGGAGCCGCCCCAAAAGCCAAGCTTAACGGATTTTGAATTTGGAGGGTGAGGGAATACCTGGAGACTGGAGAGGCCAGAAGCTGAACTCACCAAAAGGGCCCTGAACCCTGAAGGAGGGCGAGTGCACGCTGTGCTGGGTCGGCGGATTCCAGTCCTTTCCAGTGCAGCTTTTCTCCGACCCCAGTGCAAAGTGGAAGGTGGTGGACAGCAAGAAAGGCCTGCGAAGTGGTCCTTGATACCAACACAATAACTTTAGCATATTAGTTGGTGACATACGTCAATGAATCAAGGCTTGTCATGCGCCTTGCTAGAATACAGATCAATTTCACACTCATGTTGAGTAGAGTCCAGACGGAGGGCGCCTGAAGGGTTCTTCCAAAATTGATGCAGCGATGTTTCTGGTGTGGGTCAAAAAATCTAGGAATCCTTTGCCTATTACATCCATCCTTTTCTTACGGCGCACTGGTACAAGCACCCGTAAAAGATGCCCACATGCGAAGGTGTTCTTCGGGAAGGCACCTACACGGTCCAGGCCACAGTTCTGGGGATGCAGGGGTGATGCAGTGTCTCCTAGACATAGACACATCTAAAAAGTAGCGTCGCCCTACTTACCACCAAAAAAAGTGAGGAGTGTTGTGCATGAAGGACACGAGGGAGAGAGGGACAGAGATCCAGCAAGAGAGGCATATGCTTTATAAACAGGACATGAACGGCTACTTTCTTGGAGCCTTGATCCATGTGTTCTGGGTCTTCACAAGAAGGATCCTACTATGGGGTACGCACGCATGAGCCCAGCTGTCAGAAATATTCGAAACAAGATACCCTCAGGAACCTCGGGTAGGGATAGTGTAGGGATCTTATGAGAAACTGCCAAGTAGACATGCCAGCCCTACCATCAACCCGCTGCACAGGACATGGAAGATGCTAGTTACAAGAAGCCCTCCGACTGCAGAGATATCAAAATTGCAAAGCAGCTCTCACTGTCGCGCACCTTGGTGTGACGCTCTCGCTTTACCGAATCGTTTACTGTAGTAGTCCAAGAACTTGCTTGCCAGACCAAATCGATCTAGACATAGCCGCCTATCCTCCTCAAGCCCAAACCTACTCAGACCATGGATGGTAGATGTAGTCCCCCCCCACCAAGAACTGCCAGACTGATATTACATGCCAACACCTTTCCTGGCGGCAAGCTAGTTGGTTTTCCGTTACCGACTCCCAGCAGCTTGGCGTGGAGCTGGTTTTTCACCCGCTGGACGCGGATTTTCGTCGAGAAATGCCGCAAGCTGAAAAAGGCGCGAGGACAGCTTAGAGCTGCCTGCATGCTGAGTTGGGAGCTTGCACGACGGCATGTTCCGCGAAGAAGGCATGAACAACATCTAAAGAGACACTTGTCAACGAGCACCTTCCCCCATGCTTCGGCAGACAGTTCTTTTCAACGTTTGTTTTGGATACGTGATCATCCCTGAGCGTCCTTTGCCCCTTTAGAAGTCCGTCTGCTGCACCATCACCGAAGGCCAAAGTCGAGGGCTGCACCACACTCGAGCTGCAGCCAGCTACTCAGACACAGGTATTAGGGTAATATTAGGGTAATATTAGGGTAATATTAGGGGAATATTAGGGGAATATTAGGGTAATATTGGGGTAATATTAGGGTAATATTGGGGTGATATTAGGGTAATATTAGGTATGCGAGCCCGCATCATCCTCATCATCCTTTTCACCTATCGTGTGCTTCAAGCTATATATCGCGCTGACTAGAGCTTTCACGATGGCGCAGTACAGATCCCAAAATATTCTAATCCTTAGTATAGGGACCCCATCGGAAACCCCCAAATGTTGGACAGAAGCTTCGAAGGGATGTGATTCAGATTTTTGATCATAATATAGCCCCAATATTACCCCAATATTACCCCAATATTACCCTAATATTACCCCAATATTACCCCAATATTACCCTAATATTACCCTAATACCTGTTCTAAGGGTCGAAGAGGAGGAGCTCTTGCGCTTCAACGATGCCGGTCACTGGCAGGCGCCGGACGTCCGAGGATGTAACCACTGTGTAAGTGTTACCACGGTTTATCGGTTAGCTTGCAGTGGGGTGGGTAGGGTTTAAGGCCAGTACACTTCACCGAACACTACCTTCCCACACAGCAGAACTATTGCGAATTGAGTGTCTGTTCATGTTTAAGCTTGAAGGTTTCGCTAACTTCAAGGTGAATATCTGCAACCGTATTGCCGACTGTGCTTCTTCGAGCTGCCCGCCCGCCCTGGAGTGGCGCGGTGTGACCTGAGTTCAAACCGCGCCGATATCTAATCATACCAAGGTGCGCTTATTGTTTCAGGCCGCTCCAAGTTGTCCGGTTGGTTAGATTGCCGAACCTGAAGGGGGTATGTGCTGCAGTAGGTGATGCTTGGTTGCACAACGCTGCATGTGTGCTGACTTCGAATTTGTCACAACTGCCGCGTGGTTATCCCTATGTGTTCATACTAGTGTTCTGATTTGGCTTGTCGTCTTCAGGAGGTCCCACCAAGAAATCAATGGACATGATGGACGTGCCTTTAGGTTCTTCAGCGATGGCAGCACCACAACTAAAGTTCGATGGCTACCTTCAAACACTCCCTAGGCTATGGTGACAGCTTTGCATGGATGCGACGCAGTCATGTCTGACAGTGTCGCTTGAGACAAGCAATCTCCCCATGTCCGCATCCTGATTTAAAGGGCTTTGCATGCCTGCAGGTGGTCCAAGAAGCCATGGCGCATGCTTTGTCAAGTCGTGGAGCTTAGGGTGCTTGCAGGGTGGCAGGGAGTTGCAAATGAGAGCACATTCTGCCAATCGAAGTGAAGGCACATTTGAGTAGTATTTGATTTGGGGGTATTGTGTCCCAATATAAAGTACGATTATGTCCTCTTTTGGGGTATGGCATTTTATAAGAGGAATATACTCATCTAGATCCAGGCTCTTGGCCTCGGCATTTGGATGATTCTTTCGATGGCTCGGGCTTGTTGGACTCGCATTGATGTTGCCTGAGCTGTGCTAAACTTTTTCCAAAAGCAACAAGTTGCTTCCTACCTTTTCGAAGACTCTCGCAATCACGCAACAGCAGGGTACTGATCACATGATTAGAGAGCCAGCTTCATCAAGGTTTACCGCCGAAATCCTCGGTGCAGCTGCTGGACATATCTGACGCGCGGAACTCAGACTCGACCAAGCGAATGTCTGTGATTTGAGATTTCGAGGCATGATCAATGCTATAAGTCTAGTTTCTATCACGTTTCTGCAGGGCCCAACCTTCGCGCAAGCAGCTTGCCTTGCCCGGTTGTGTTCTGTTGCGCTATCCATCTGTTCGAGTTGCTATGTGTTGTGAATCACGGAAGCAGCAGCCGTGTTCGACAAGATGAGGAATGGAGTCTTTGTCGGGCTGCAGAGGGCACACTAATTACGCCTTCAGGGCCAGACAGGAACACCACTCGCAAACTGATGGCTTGCCAAATTCAGTCAAGCGCGCGAGAGCCATACCATCTGAAAGCTTCAGAGCTTAAATGACGCAGGCACAGATCTAGAGCCGGTTTCAGATTGCAGAGACTAAGGCCTTGCCCTTTTCGCTTCTGTTGGCTTCTGAGCTTTGCGCAAGAGCCGGCATCCCAACATGGGATGCAGTGGTTTGCCGCAACCTCAGCAAGTCACAGCGATCAACATTTTATTCTCATAAAGCTTGAGTTATCAATGCAAGCTTGGATTGTTGTACGTATAAATGCATACCACGAGGCTTGCGGAGCTCCTTAGAGAAGCAGGCATGGAGCGTCATCTTGACACCATTCGGCATGATGGTGCTTTCAGCCGCCAGGTCTTGCTGTCCCTGCTGGCTGGCAGCTCTGTGGATGTAGATCGTGCCATGGCCACAGACAGGGCATAGCTGCAGAAGGCTTTCTGGGCTCAAGCCAGATACCTGTGTCAGGTGCATGTCCTCCTGGCATCGACGCAGCAACTGATTCAGGCACTGCCCATTGACAGCACAACTTGACAGACCTTCTGGACAGCTGCAGGCATCGCTGCCGTCTCCGTTCCCTCCAGGGCGTGTAGAGGTGCCCAACATCAGGATGCACAGGGCTGGGCAGTCTGCCGTTCGGCGCCATGGCATGGGGAGAGGGCAGACAAGAACCTCTCCCAGAAACGGGGCAACAGCAATCATGCGTCCCAACATACAGTCAGCGTGGAGAAGTTGATTAGCTTCAGCAGTTGTGGCAGTTTCGCACTCTGAAATTCAGGAGTGGGAGCTGCGGAGTAGGAAGAGAAGGGCAGTGCACTTCAAGAAACAGAGAAAGCTGAGGTTGAAATGTCAGCAAGGCAGGCAGGCAAATGCATCAACCACACCTCATTACAGCAAACAGTTGAAATCAAGCAAAGGGAAACAGACGTCAGCAGCAGAAGAAGCGATAAGTGGGGAGCTGTTGAGTTTTGGCTCAGCTGGAGCAAGGCCAGCCCACAGCCTACGCCCTCGGCAAGCCTCATCGTTTGTGAGGCGAGGTGCTTTCACACTGCCTCTTTCCGAGAGGTTTTATAGTAGTCTTTCTTGCCATGTCATGTCTACCCGGGCTCCAGGACATTGTCGGGGCGTCGGGTGCATTGCGAGCAGAGGCCCTAGAGGCAGGCTGTACTGCTATCTGACTTCAAGCTTCTTCGCACAGGCAGCAAGCTGTGGCGTTTTTGACAGGACCTCGCCCTAGTTTGGCGCACTTGCTCAGGTGCAAGCCTCAGACTCACTCCACATTTACAAGGCTTATCGAGCGTAGTCCAAGCCTTCAAGCCTGAAACCCTAAACCCATCGCCTTCTTATACACAAGTTGTTTGCAAGGACTGAAGGGGCGAGAACTTCGCACTGTCCCCGAGGCGCTTGAGTGCTGATAATCGCGATGGTGGTGTTGGTAGCCTAGTAGCAGCACCAGGAGTGGTGCTGGCGGTGGCGGCGCTGGCAGTGGTGGTGGTGGCGGGGGCGCCGGCGCCGGCGCTGGGGGTGGTGGCTGCGGCGGCGGCGGCGGTGGTGGTGCAAGAAATGGCGAAGAAAGTGGGGAAAGTGGTAACGTTGGACCATGTTGGACCTCCTTTGGTGACGAGGCCCTCTGTAATGTCTTCATTCGGGATCAGGGGTAATGATAAAAGGCACTCTATAATGTGAGCTCTTTTTTTCTTGGAGGGGGGGGGAGGTGGTGGGGTCTGAAATATAGGAAGGTGTTCATGCATTCCTTTGTGAAGTTCTCTTTTCAACGGCATGCCTTTTAAAATCCGTTTGAGGACCAAGCTTCAGATCCAGAAGCCAGCAACCGACTCTAAGACCCTAGGGTTGTATTGGGGTTATATGCGGATAATGGATACGAAAATAAAAGCTACTAAAATGGGTTGTACAGGATTTAGGGTTTGGGGGGGCTTGTTCAAAACCTGGAGAGCCCGAATTATTTGGGCAAAGGGAGGAGTCCAGCAGGCCTTTGGATCCTGAAAAAGGCTCATTGTTTGGAGGCCTCTTTAGCCCTAGACCCCTGCAGTTTTTTGGGCCCCCGGCCCCAGAGCTCTCATGGTCGAGGGATGCCCTTCATGTTCTTGTTTTTCCCACCTTCCTACTGTTCGAGGGCCGGGGAACCCCAAGATTCAAGAGGGTCCCACATGACTGGCACTAAAGACAGCCAAGTCACATCTTGCTGCTGCTCCTAGCAAGGCCATCACGCTCAAGCTGTCACTCATCGAAAGCTCTGAGTTGGAGAGGCCAGAGCGATGCCGTTATCCCTGTGGGGCCAAGTTCAGTTTTTCTTCAACAGAATTTTCGTGGGTGGGTCCTAAGCCCAATTACAAAAGTTTTGCAACCCCCTATTGGAAACATGATTGCGCGACATGATTCCCAGGAGTCGATACAGTACAGGCAGCAGCCAGAACACTATGTGTGAAGTCAGGAATGGGAATCTAACAGTGAGAATGGTGCAGCATCTTGACGCAGGGGACACAGTCTCGTTGCAACCCAACGTAAGACGATGCCTCAAAGATATCATCTAAAGCCATCAATCCTAAACCCTGAGCTTGAGGCGGACACGCGTGGTGGAGCAGCCCGGCGGCGTTGACGTCTCTGGAGTTAATGCGCTGAGCGTTGCTGACTTCCTGAGACCAAGCCTCAGTCGCGCTGCGAAAGATGTATAAGCTACGCGATAGATATCTGCGGAAGGCACTTGTGTTGCCGAAGCCCATCCCACATGTTGGCAACTCCCAAGTCGGATATGTCTCACATGATATTATCATCCTTGTCACTGTTCATCTCCAAACACGGCATGACCTACATGATTCGGTAGCTTGCCAAGATAAGGGGACCCCAATATATTTAGAGCCCCAAATACCATAGTCCTTATTAAGGGGATCCCCAAAATGGTACCCCTAATTTTGCGAAACCCCCATTCACTGCAAACGGTTTGCGTGTTTCTGCGCTCCCTGGGCTGTGGGGAAAAAGCTACTCGTTATTTTGGGGAAATGGAAACGAAAATGGAAACCATAGGAATTATAGGGGTTCTATAGGGATTATATTGGGATAATGGAAAAGAACATGGAAACTACTATAGTATCATGGGGTTATATAGGGGTAATGTTATACTTATATTGGGGTGATATGGAAATGAAAATGGAAACCCTTGGTCCCCGTTATCGAATGTTATGATCACCCTGATGCTGCTGCCGGCACGAGATTGCTGAGCGGTTTGAAAAAGTCGTTGCAAGATGTGAAGCGTCAAAGGCTGACTTACTTTACTGGCTCTTGGTAGAGAATGGCCCAATTATATCTTCCCAGATTCCTTACTAAAAACCAGTAAGTTACGGGATTCGAGGAGAGCATCAGCTTACTGCTACATTAGTGACCTGGGTCCCGCTGCAGCAGGATGGAACCCAAATTCTGATCCCTAAGCTTTCTGCCCAAAGTCTGCACCTTAGTCGATGGAGGCTGGTCTCGAACTTATAACTTTGTTGGGGTTCCAAGTATAGTATGGCACCTCGTATCTTTTGGGGAAGCCAAATTAGGACCCTAAGTTCGGATGCTACAGGTTTGGAGGAAGCGCTGTTGAAGCCAAGATGGCTGAGCAAGGAGGCTGGCGTTGCCAACAAATGTGCCGGGCATGACTCCGGGTGAGCTGGACATGGCGTCAGGATCTGCTAAATGACTGAATCATGGAGAGGCTTATATGGTAATTTCCCAAAATGGGGGGACCCCAATATAGGCCCCAAAATACTATAATCCTTATTATTGGGACCCCTAAAAAGGTACCCCTAATTTTGGGAAATCCCCATATCAGAACAGCGAAAACAGGCATCATGAGGTTGGAAAAACGACATCGCAGCTGTTCTCGAGCCTGATAGCAGGTGGAAGCACTCTCGCTGCCTTTGGGGCCCTCCCTTCTCACTGCGCTGGCTGCTCTCAGCGCGCGTCTGGGGCCTACGCAGAGCCGTTAGGTCGGGCATGTATGCATGAATCTCAACTCCAAGCCGCTCATACGTTGGATGGAGGAGATCTTGCACCACCCTACATAACCCCGATCACGGTCATTACAGTGCTTTGAGGTTCCAAAGTCCTAAGTGGTGCAAGGTTTCCCTCATACCACTCAAAAGCCGCTTGTGGCAGTGGAGTGGCCAGGTGAGAACGGCGCCCCTTTGCTACGACTGCGGCTTGTGGCAGAAGTCCCTGGCAAGGTGTGGGCAGCCCTCCGCCATCCCAAAGACTGGACGCCCCCTACTGTACCTCCTACCTGGACTGCTTTTGATAGCTCATGGTGATAGCATAGTCGAGGGCTTCCAGCCACCATGAAACCATAGCTGTGCGCCAGTTCCAGCATGTCTCTGAGTTTTGGCTTCCGAAGATGTTCAGGCTCAGGGGTTTAGGGACCTTATGAAGAGTTCATCAATCTACTTTTTGTGGTGGAACAGGGAAACACGGTGAGAGCAGTCCCATGGCTCATGAATGTCGCAGGTCCACGGCATTGTTACACGCTACAGCTGGCCCCGCTCGGGATCTGCAGGCCACCCAAAATCGACATTTGTACGGATACCCCGCTGCTGCAGACGCGCTCTAGGTTTATATCTTGGATTTGTTGCAAAACTTCGCAAGTGCCGCTGCCAATGGGGCTTCATATGACTTGGATGTGCTTCTCTCTCCTTTTGAGACCAGTACTTTCAGAACAGTCCCAAAGTCTACTGGGCTGCTGTTAAGGAACGTAAGTTCACGTACTGTAGAAAGGAAACCCTCTAATTCACTATATTCCCAAATTATGGTAACCCTCAACCTCAAACCCTTCAATACCCATCATACTATGGTACCTTTTTTGAAGTTCCTTAACAGCAACCCAGTCTTCGAAACTGCAACAACCTTGTCAGGTCGAAGCTGGGACGCCAGGCCTCGAGCTTGAACTACTTGAGCAGATCTGCAATAGGGTTTAGGTTTAGGGGTTTAGGGTTTAGGGTTTAGGGCTTGGGGGGAGTTAAGGGATTAGGGTGTAGGGCTTAGGGTTTAGGGCTAGGGGTTTAGGGATTAGGGTTATCATGAATATTAAGAATGCGGGAATTGCTCGAAAGAGGGTCTGTCTACTCCTTAAATGGAATCCTCAGGAGCGATTTATATGAGCAGCCCTAATCATGCCTATGCATCTCCAGGATTGGATGCCTTAAGGCATTCCTTTTGAGAACCCTCCCCCCTTCCATATCCGCAACAGGGACTGAAAGCAGATAGCTCCGAGCTATTGCGCGTGGGGTTGTTCAGGAAGCTGTAGCACAAACTTTGCTGGTCCACAACGACCCCTCAATACGCAGAGGCATCTCAAAATGGTGGTGGCTCCGCGTAGCATCATTTTCTTAGAAACTCTATATAACCCATTATAGTAGTTTCCATGTTATTTTCCATTATCCCCAGATGATCCCTATAGAACCCCAACACGATCCCTATAACTCCTATAGTTTCCATTTTCGTTTCCATTATCCCAATATAACCCCTATACGATAATGGTGCACACCACCCCCTGGCAAATCAAAGTCCAGAATCCCAAGCCCTACACCCGGAACTCCAAACCTGAACCCTGGAGCGCGGATCCTGGTATAGTCCCCCTTAAGTAGATAGAATATGGCTTTGGGGTATATTTTGAAAAGATCCTATACGCCCCATATTCTATCTACTTAAGTGGGACTATAAGCTAAAGACCTCAACCCTAAGGCAAGACCTAAAGCCATTTCTCGCTGACAGGACTTGGCAGGAAGAGGTAGTAATGACAACAATTCCGAGAGTACTGACAACACCCGAGTAGAGCAATGATGTAACAGGGGTGCGCTTTCAGCGAAAAAAACTTCTACTGAAATACCACAGCTCCTTTGATCTTAAGAGGAGAAATACCACGCCTGTGCGCTGCTAGTGCCCTCCTCTGTTCATTATTGCTGCCCCTGCTCTGTCGTCATTGCTTTCCCACCCTTTGACATCCTGACTTCACAGCCTCGCCGTGCCGGTGCGTCATGAGGAGTGGGGCGTGGATCCTCAAAACTATCCGGATGTAGTCACGATACCCAGACCCGATACTTGCTTCCAGTTTCTGTTTCGCTCCCTCACTCATCATATGGGAGTTTTCAAGATGACATTGATATACTCCGTAGTCAGGACCCCCAGAGTCTTTCTTTCATCTCATGTATCTCTAGGGTAGCTAGCGGCCCCTCATTCTGAGAAACGTCCTGGGAATGAATAGCCCTCAACCCTCAAGCCTAAACACTACACATGCCTACATCCCCACTTTGAAAGTACCTTAAATCGGAAGACGATTCCGTGACTTGGGCATGCCTTTCCTTCCCAGGCTGGCCGGTGTAGTCTGGCCATGCGAAGGTGGAAACCGACCACCATGCCTGGAGGCCATTGGGAAGATAAAAGAATCAGAAAAGAAATAATCATCAAAAGTTAACAAAAGTTAGCATAGCAAAAGTAGTAATACGAGTTCCCGTGCCGCCGCCCATACTCCCCTCCCCTTCCCTTCCTCCTTAAATGGGTGATTTAGGGAGAATAGTTGACGGGAACCCATGAAAGAATTATTTGTTCTAGAGAATTCCCCAACTCCACAACAAAGCCCGACAGGTTCCAAGTTGTAGATCTGTGTGGGGGCCTGGGTAGTCATGCCTTTGCGGCTGCACTACTGTCAAGATTATACTTAGCAAGGTAAAGGTAGCTCTGATATGAGCTCATGAAGCCATGGAGTGTTGTGACACACACACACACCCTTAATAATGGGCCTGCTGGGGGGGGGAGTCACTCTTCGCCCTGCTCATTTTCCCACTCTCCCAGGTCTATTTCTGTGAATGCGGGGCGTGGTCAAGAAATGAGTCCCGCAACATGACTTTAGGGTATAGTGCGGTATAGGATTGTATTTCCATATACTGCGCCAATGAATCTGCAGATCTGTGAGAGTGATCCGACACCCCCTGCACAAATGTGTTGTAGGAAACGAGCCCGCCGGCAGATTTTTCGCGGACCCCCCCACCCCCACTGCCGTACCCTTCTTAGGTGGGGGGTATATTGTAAACAGCATGTTCCTCAAGAAGAGCTCAGACACAGCGAGGCCTAAACTAGCGGTGCAGTATGTATTGTTTGGCCAGGTTGGTGACGTGGTGGTCGTAACAGTTGAATACGACCCAGCTCGCGGCCTCCTTGTGCCGTCCTGAGTGACTTTCAAGTATTTTCAGATATTCATGATTTTTGTCCAATGATGCAGGTCTGCCCAACATGCGTAGAACGCGCTACTATCTCTGGAAAAAAATCAGGGTCATCGACAAATATTTCCAATTTAAATAATGAAATTATACATATAAATATTCAAGAAAATTTGAAGCATATATTTAAAATGAGATAATTATTCGATATGAATTGGAATTGGATATAAAATAGGATATCTTATATATATATATACATATTCATATCCGGCGACTTCAAAACTTCTAAAGATCGATTTCCGGCAATAGCCAATCTAAGACTATTCTGGGAACTAATTCAATCTGATTCTCATAATATATTAGGATATATGAATTTAATAGAATCGTTTAAATATGCACGGAAAATTCTTCAGATAATTTAATCTGTTTCTTATTCAATTAACTTATAACCTATCGTAATTTCAAAAAATTCGTTTTATACGAAAGATTTTCTAGAAAATTCAAATTCTCTGATATTTTTATTTTGATTTGAAAAATTTTTATAAAATCGATATATATATAGAGATAAGGGAAAGGATATGATAGGAGATCGATAATTTGATGAATTATTTTTGAATACGTAATTGAAGGATTCTCGTTCTAAGGTTGGGGTCTAGGGATCTAGGAGGCGATGCTAGCTCGTTATATTTATATGGGTTTATGCTGGTATTTGACCGCAGAGGACGCATATTTCTGTGGGAATCATTTCAAATTATTATTCAAAGGAAATTTGGAGGTCGCATAGGATATAATTAGAATGACTATATATACTCTGAGCAATAAATATGGATTTTCGTTCTCTGATAATTTAATTTCAATATTGGAACGGCCGTTCTTGGCAATTTGATATATTTTCGTTCTTTGGTAGTATAACTTGAATATTGGAAGGGTCGTTTTCGATGATATAATATATTTTTCGTTCTGTTGGAATGGTCGTTTTCGGCGACTTGATAGATTTTCGTTCTCGGCTTGAATATTGGAACGGTTGTTTTCGGTATTTTGATGGATTTTCGTTCTTTGGTAGTATAATTTTAGTTCTGAAACGGTCGTTCTCGGCGATTTGATAGATTTTCGTTCTCTGGTAGTTTATCTTTAGTGCTGGAACGGTCGTGCTCGGCGCCTTTCTCTTCTTGCAATTGCCGATATCGTCATCAATATTACAGGAGTTGGTCGAGGCGAGGACTTTTCAGCACTATATCTATGGATTGATGGGGGAATGGCCGCAATACGCAGGTCGCCCCAAAAACCAGGCTAGGGTCACGTTTGATGGGGATATGCTGCTTCCAGCTTTTGGAGAGGGAAGAGTGCTCCGATAAACGCGATATCAGGTCGTTATAGCTTTGATTTATCTCGGAAACAATCCTATTTCGGGTCTCTATCGTATTCGGCTCAGATCTGAAGAGGGATAGATCTGCTCAGATGACACTACTCCATGCATTGGCACCATCTTAACACATGAGCATGCCTGCAATATATATCTCCTCTGGCTGGGTAAACGTGATATATAGTGGAGCCTTGATCACTTCTTCTAGTAGGGCCATGACGGAAGCTCCTATAGCGACAATTACTCTATCGGAAGAGGAATCCTTTTAGAAGCTATATATGTCGTCTGGAATTGCCAGCACTGCCATAGATATCATAATGCACCCGTACAAGGATGGTAGCTCAATTGCAGCGACTGACTCCGCTCAAGACTACAGGGAGGATGATCGAGGAGGCAAGTGGGCACGTGACCAAGGACATCGGGGAAAGGGACGCAACAGCGGCAGGGGCGGAGGATCGGGCTATCAGGCTGAGACTTCCTCCAGGAAGAAAATTCAGAAATGGAATTATGGAAGCGATTGGAGCGGCCAGGAGAAGGTCATTGCGGATTTGAAACGTCAGAAACAGGCGTTGTAGAAATACGCACTCAGATACGAGGATTCTATATAGATCCTCCGACAAGAGGTTTCCTTCGTGGTCTTTTTACGTATAGGAGTAGATGCTTCTATCGTAGATCCCCTTGCTGATGTACGTGCACCCTGGTCGCCGCAAAAAGAACAGAATCCCCAATCTCTCAAGAAGCCGATGCGCTCAACCATATTTGCATGCATATTGGATGAACGATTTCTTGGCAAGGGCCATTGGGTTGTAAAATAAATCCGAATCTCTGAAGAAGATAGTCGAAATGAAGTAGATAGATTCTGAGGGCCAAGGATGACGCTATCTCAAGGGAGATCAGTCACGCAAAATATTGATTCCGGAAGAGGGCAGGGAGATGATTTCACTCGCCCAGACTACCGAGACCCTGCAGGACGTCTTGAGATGCTCCATAGACCCCACGGCTATCACGCGATTTTTTCCAACCAGGCCACTCACGCCGGAGCTCAAGGACGAGACCATCACGATGATATTCCAATTTGCGCTTCGTGGTGAGTCCTCCAGTAGACTGATTCAGCCCATGCATATCTTGAATGGATTGGCCATAACCCAGTTATGCGCGTATCAATTTCGGCCTGAACGTGCTCAGCGCTTTGGGTTAGCCATGACAATTTCCAAAGAGCTGGCGAGCTGAACAATGGAGGTTTCAATTAGATGCAAATCATGGTCTCGCATGGGATTCTACCCTCCCGATACGGAGATGATATTTTCATAACTGTGGCGTAGACAGACTCTGCTCAGCACAAAAAGCTCTGAGAATCATGACTTCCTGATTTATATAGAGCGCAATGATAATGAACAATTATTCTCTTGCACTCAGATTTTAAATTCCTCGGTTGGGTTCCTGGCAAGGATGATTACTTGCATGCTTGGTGTAGTATTGTCAAAAAAACTTGATACTGGAATTTTTAGCTTGCGACATGGGGTCAGCGGGCATTCTCTCCAGTGCATCCGCCCCAGAGATCGATCTGGAGGATATCATATGGACCCCGGAGCCATGAATGGCATCCATATCTCATTTCTTTCGTGGTCTGACGGATACCCAAATGATTTCTGATCAATCTATGATATCTTTGCCATATAATCCTTCCAATTGTTCATCGGCTAGTTATAGAGATTCCTCGGCAATGCCCAATTCCCCTGGCACGGATGGGGATCCCGAATCGTATCTTGCTTTCGATGCGGAGGCTTCCGAGTATCGCTTCTTTGGGCCTCCCAAGAACAAGGCTGATGAGCTGGCTTATAATACCATGAATGAGGATATCATCAATTTCGGATAGATTGGCGTCCTCATGAGGCTCTTTCCGATTCGGAAAATTGGGCATCATAGATATGCATAAAGCGATTTATTCTCTTCTTATTTTGATACGGACGCATTTATTCATGGATCTCATGCTGGGATTCGAAATCACGTCGTGGAATATCCATGGTGCTCAATTTTGCTTGCTTCTCTTCTACGTTCGTATTTCCCAGATAAATCTTTCAGCTCGTATCTTCTATAGATGAAGATATCAATCAGGGATCAGCATAACGACGATGCCGTAGGCAATTCGGTTTTGACTTGTTCGCGCTGGGAAGGAGGTCAGTTTTGGCTAGAGGATGCTGATGATGATATTTTCCTGGAAAATGGTTTACGGGATTGCGTAATACCAATTCAACCCACTACATCATTCAACGGATATATTCTTCGCAAAATAATGCCTTGGATTGGATGCCGAACTGTACTGGTTGATTTTCGCATTCGGGATATGCGGAAGCTTTCTGCTGAAGAGATCATAGATCTCCAACATATGGGTTTTGTGCTTCGCAACTCTATAGAGAGCTGATGAAAAATTCTATTACTACCAGATACGGATCTTTGACTTGAGTGCTGGAATATGCTCGCCATGCTCGCATAACAGCTGATGCTCAGATGCTCAGGTCTCAAATCTACGATGCTCGTAGCCCGCAGATGATATCCATTCTCGATACCTTTTCGCTCGCTCCGATTTCGTATCTTCCCATTTTCATTTTCAGTTCGATTCCTTGTACAGGGCAGGGTCATTGCTTTGGAGCCTAGGCTCGGATGATTTTTATCACTCAAGAGGCGTGGTCTCCAGGGACGCCGTGTAAATGATTTATGATTTACATATTAGGTTCCTAGGCTTATGCGCTGCTTGCGGCCGGCTCAAAGAGCTACTAGACTTCACTTGACCATCGATAATGGTGACGATTCGAGAGAAAGAAAGAATAATCGCAATAATAATAGTAATAGAACTAGTGGTATTATATCATAAGAGAAAAATAAATATAGTCACTTTGGGTATGAGCCCTTCCCAAAAATATTTAAAATAGATATAACTACGCCACAATTATAAATTTATGCCAGATGAGATTATTTTTAATATAAATCTCTCTTAAAATCGCCCAAAAAGATTATATATATCCAAAATCCAAGATCTAATTTCCTCCGCATAGATTTATTTATAAGAATTATTTTCAGAAATTCCTCATCTGCCGGCGCGGATTATAAAGCAAGAGCTCCTAAGACCTACGAAAAAATCTAAAAGGAATATCCCAATTCATGAAATAGAAAATCCCATCAATCTAAATATTCCAGAGAATAGAGAGACCTCCGAAAAAGATCTTGCTATAGAGCTATAACGCAGCCATCAAAGCTCTCCAAGAGGGCAAAATATATCTCTAATTAGAGTATCTTCCAAGCAATAAATTTAGCAGATATTCAATATATCATCATATCGTCAATTCCATAATCAATATCCAAATTCTTTTAATCTATTGCCTATCAAATATATTAAATCCTGCGGGCATCTCCTTCTTTCTATAGTCAGTCGATAATACATTTCATAAATATATTATAATAATGTCTATGTAATCGTGCATTATTTGAGTAATTTCGAAATTAAAAATAATCCAAAACGTTCTCGTATTGAAGGAGACGGGCGATAATTGAAAAGCCTAATATTTATCCGACTAGCTTTATTAAGATTTCACGTAATTTGCAACCTTTATCTGATTTTTCTGAAAGGGCGGAATTTTAGAGATGCTAGGCG